TCCATTTTGGGCAGGAAATAAATGTAAATTCTTTCAGTAATGCTGATATTACACTCATTCTTTTGTATTAAATCACTAAAGTCAGCGGATTCAGGAGTCAGTCTCTTAGCCTGTTCCTTTCTGTTTCTACCCATTGCTCATTATGTGTTATTTTTCATCCCTCTGTTGAAGGTAGGAAGCACTGTTTAATAAGATGTGATTTGCCAATGGAAATAGTGAGCATGACAGAAGTTTGAGTAGGCATTTTGATGACATTACTTAAAAAGTACTAGAACTCAACAAGTTGATCAGTAGAAACCAGAAACATAGATGGGTTGGTTACAAGACGGTTAAAGGCTCCTAGAAGCAAAGGAGGTTGGATGGCAGAAAGTGAGTAAGTAGCCCCAGGTAGGGAATCCAGATTCCAAGCCAAGGATCTGAAGCCATGGGGCGACAGTCCTGTAAGTAGAGGCTCCTAGATCCATAGCCAAAAAGAAGCCACTTCTGGACCCAAAACCCAGGACACAATATAAATTGACTGGCAGGACTGCAGAGAGTGGAGGTCCTCTGGCAGTAGCAGAATGTCTGGCAGGGACTGGACACCACATGGCACCTGATGGGCTCACAGCAGGTCTCCTGACAGCCGCTGTAGAGAGAGGAGCTCAGCTGGCAGGTGCTGGGAGAGCAGAGGTCCATGGTGCAGACCAGGTTGCTGGGATAGGAGGAGCCACAGGAGGAGCCTGGGTAGTGCAGCTGGCCTCCAGGGGAGCGGGAGGAGAAGTTTCCAGAGCAGCAGTTGTAGGACACGTTAATAGGAGATGTGAGTTCAAATGAGTGACAGTGAAAAGGTTCCAAAGTCTAAGGTTATCTTGTGGATGGAGTAATTTACACATTCTGTCAATTGGTATGGTACAGCACTGGTGCAATTCTCTCATATTTTGCACACCCTCTCCTGCATAGTGTAACTCATGAATCTCTTGCAGTTGACTAGCTTCCTAATCATTGTATTTATGAGTACTATAATTTAAGACAACACAAAGCCAGTGTTTATTCCTCTACAGAAATTCTAGGACCATTTGTCAGTCATCTTCATCCCATCTAGGCCAGGAAAGCCCATTCTTTACTCCCTGGCCATGACTCCATGTACACTCCTGCTTTGCTCTGGGATTTTTTTCTGTCATTTTTCTACTGAGTCAAGTGATCAGTGGTGTGGCTTTGTCTTTTTATAAGGATGCTTCTAATGATTGATTCTACTTGTCACTACTGATTCATGGTCTTCAAAATTATTTTCTATCACATATTATCATAGTGCTTCTCACATCCAAGGGAGGGACAAAAAATAACAAACAGTGAGCAACGGCTAGAAACAGAGGGAACCAGGCAAACATTTAAAGACAAAATGACTCAAGAAGACTGAACTGTGTTAGACTCACAAGAAGAGGTTGATTTGGGCCACTGGGAGAGGGAGTGGGGATAATGGTGACAATGTGGGAAACTGAGAAGAGGAATGAAAAGAGGAATTTCAGGTACCTCTTCTACACGCCTTGAGACTATGGATTCAAATGCCTTTTAAAAAGCACTGTTTGAAAGTGAATATAGTTTATGCATTTTCATATATTTTCATTTGCATCATAAAAATGTTTACAAATTTTAAAAGGACCTGAGGTCTGCATCCCAGAACAAATCAGGTGCTCTTCTGCTCAGACTGTGAATGATTTCTGTGCATTTTCAAAGTCAGTTTCTTTCCTGTAAATTCTTTCAAAACTATAAAGTATTTTTCTTTCGTCATCCGTGTTCTCCAGTTTAGTTTTTCCTTTGATTAATACGGTAACTGAGTGCTAATTTCCAGTGGGTTAATTATATCAGGTAAACTTAGACTGAAATAAACACAGAAATTCTTTAGGCTGAAGGAAAATAATCTTAGAAGGAACATTACATTTTAAGAAAGACTAGAGAGAATATTTGCTAGTTGGATTCTCTAAGAAGCAGGCACTGAGACAGGAACAGAAGAACAAGTTTGTAAGAGAGGAGCACCTGTGAAAGAAACAAAGTCATACCACTACCTTGCTCAGTCACTAACAAGGGGCTGCCATGGGAAAAAAAAAGAAAGAAGCAACTGATTTGGCTTAAAATCTAAGGCAGATCCAAAGGAAGCCAGCAGAAAAGGCTGTCAGCTAACCTCACTTGTCACAGCTGGACAGCTATTCCTTCTCTGAAGTGGCGTGATATGAGTTCCAGTGCATGTCGGGACCTGTTACTGTCCTCCATTCGCACCTTGAGAGTCAACTTATCAGGAAGGAGATTCTCTGGTAGGTCTCTCTTCCTGAGGGGACATATGTGAGTGAGGTCAGTGGGATGAAACACAGACCTGTCACTGCGCGTGATCTTGGAGCTACAGCGGGTGATCATTATCTCCCTCCTTCACAGTCCATTATACGTTTGCCTCACCCGCAGCTACCACCCCTGTTGGTCGCAGGGGATTTTCTGGTGATATTAACCCGTGATCCTATTCTTGAGGAGCGTGAACCCCGGTAACCCTTTTTCTTGCTGGAGTTACTGCATATGGCAAATCAAGTCTGTCACTGGACAGGAGGATTCGAGAGCCACCCAAGTAGATCAACTGAGCTCCACACATGGTCCCTCCCACGCTCACTGTGTCACAGCAATCCTAACATTTTCTGCTATCAGGATCATCTACCCTGGGATAGATGGTAACTCTTTTGTTGTTGTTGTTGTTTGTTTGCTTTTTTGGCCGGTTGGTCCCTGAAACAAGAACCCCAAGTGCTCAGCGAACAGCCATCACTGTAGTTCAGTGAGGTCCTTGATGTGTCCCTCAGCAAGCCTGTCTCTGGGAACAGGGCTGCCATCCTTGGAAACTCCAGTTGCAGAAATGGGAAGCACAGAGTTCTTAGGCGGGTCACTGGGAATGATAGTGAGTGTGTATTTCGAACCCAGTCTTCTGAGGGTACTG